CAAGAGGTTAAGCGACTTGTCCAAGATCACACAGCTAGTGTCTGAGATCAGATTTGAATTTGGGTCTTCTTGACTCCAGAACGGGTGCTATATTCACTATGCCACCTAGTTGCCTCAATAACGTAGATATACCTGATAAGTGTTTCACATTCTTAGAGAGCCAGTTGTTAAACTTTAATGATCACATACCTGCTTAAAGGTCATTTACTTCATCTCCATTTTCACAGATGAGAAAACTAAGATCCAGTAAGGGTAAGTGACAAGGTCAATATTACAAAGGTAATAGATGGAAAAACAGGAATTTTGAGTTCCTATCACCTAATTCCAAACCCAACACTTTCCCCACCACACTGTGGGGCCTCCCTGCTATTTTTTTTGATTTGAGGTTTGTCTGTATTTCCACTGACTTTTCATGGAGGTTGCAACTTAATTTGTCTTAGGAATCTTAAAATTAAATATGCAACTCCAATTATTAAGTATCCCTCAGATTCCACATTCCTAAAGTGTGGATTCTGTGAACTGGACAAGCTCTCAAAAATGAAATAACTATAGGAAAAAAGTTCCATTAACTTAAGGGACAGGTTTTCTCTCTCTCTCTCTCTCTCTCTCTCTCTCTCTCTCTCTCTCTCTCTCTCTCTCTCTCTCTCTCTCTCTCTCTTTCTCTCTCTCTTTTTCTTTCTGTCTTTTTCCCATTTTCTCTTTTTTATTGACTGCTAGGGAGGAAATGAAGCCCAAAGTATTGAAGAAATGGTGAGAGTGAGGGAAATATGGATCAGGTAAAGGATTTTTAAAAATGCCCCAGACAAGCTTGGAGGGGGGCACCTTGAGAAATCAGCTTTAACAGCTGATTCAATTACCCAGGACGGAGAGCCAATCACCTGGAATCATGTGATATTAACTCTTCAATGTCTTAATTACCCAAGATCTCCAAACAAAGCAATCAGAAAACAGATGTCTTTTCTCAGACCCATGCTAAAATCACCACATAGCAAATTTATGACTTCACTGTAACTCCAGAAAACCATCGCTTTATTATTCCTGTGCTTCAAATTTCAAAATTGCTGATCCCAAGTGAATGACTACAAGGAAATATCATTAGTAATACTGTGACTATTAACAGTGTTTGGATGTCATTGTTATCAGCTGTCACAATAACACCTCTCTAGGAAATTTTAGGAGAAGGGGTGTTATGTAAAGGGCTGTCTGTTTGCGTTGGGTTACTATAGTTATAAGACGGCTTCTATGAGTTGGTCATCTGAAAGCTTCTACCAAAAGTGATTACTTTCCAGTGAAATATTCCATTTAATTTCTCCATAATCCATTGCCTCTCCTGCCCATCACACCTTTAATAACTCTACGTCATATGCTCATTAATCTTTCGCCTCCTACATCATGTTTTTTTACATTTAAAATTAGAAATAGTTATTTTTTACTTTGATTTATCATTTTCCCCTTTTTAAAAAGGCCATATAAATTTTTTTCTTTCTGCTATAAATAACAAAATGTGTTCCCAGATTGAATAACTGAGTCATAATTCAGTCCCGGGGTTTAGCTGCCATTCATAAAGCCTCAAGCTACACTCTTGTGGTTCATAATGTCAGTAGAGGCCCTTGATTGAATTATAGCCCAACAGTCAATCAAGGAACTGATATTATTCATTCAAGATACTTCTTCAAATGACAAGTTATTAATGCCTTAAAATATAAGTTAGAACCACAGTAGATAGGATGTTAGTTTAATGACGATGCTTATTTTTTTTTCCTTAATGAGACAGATGTTCAGTTTTTTTCCCTCTACTTAGGGAAATAAATCATAAGCAATGTATAAAAGTTCTTAAGTCATCATGGGTTTCTCCCTCCTTTATTGTTATTACTATTATTTCAAACACATTGTAGAAAACTTATACTCATTTTTCCAGATTTTAAAAGGAAGCATGATTTGCTCAAGGGCCTATTTCAAAATTCCAATGGTCTTGTAATATTGCTCCCTAATTTTCAGTCACTGTTGAAGTGCTATGGAAATGAGCCCTTGGCAAAAGACAAAGGAAAATCAGAAGACTAAATTGCAAGGCTGAAAATATCAAGCTGATGGTTGCTAATGACTCAGAAAAACTCAGATTATATATAAAGAATTTTGGAAACCTCCCCTGCTACTCATATCCAACTGCTCCCTGGATCAACTGAAAAAGCCATTTTTAACTATCATATTCTTGCACACGCTAATATGTTATTTAGTTTTCAATCCTGAAAAATCTCAACTGTCAAAGACGGAAGAATACAGTAGAAGGGCACATAAGAAATACGGCTTACGAAGCTTCCACCCACAAAAATAAACTTCTCACAATGGGACTCAGCTGGGACATTCATAGATTGATCCGTGCTTGCGAATGGGACAGAAATTGGGCCCTACTCTTCACTGGATTCTTTCCCAATGCTAACTGTTTCTGCAGACCAAACATTAGAATAAAGAACATAGCTTCATTTGTCTAAGTTAGCAAAGACTAGTGTTTCTTTAGAAGGCTCTAAAATGCCTAAATTGATACAGGTCTCAGAAATGGGTGGTTTGGGAATACATGAAATCAATGTAAAAGTGCTTACAGTCCTTTCTGTAGAAAGATGATAAAAGGTTCTAGATACTGTACAAAAAATTCAAAACGAGAAGCAATGTTGTATAGTGGTTAGAGAGCTGGTCATGGAATCAGGGAGACATGGGTTTGGGTTCGACCTCTGACACAAACTATACGACCACTCAGTGCCCCAGAGACAATTCCTGAAGTCAAGCAGTAATGATTAGTAATAATTGCAATTAAATAATAACTAGCATTCACAGAGAGCTTTAAAGTTTGCAAAGTGCTTTGCACGTTAACTCAATTGTAGATTGGTTAATGATCTGCACAAGTTAAAGAAATGGCCATAAATGAAATTTCCTAAACCAAAGAAATGAGAAGTCCTGAAAAAGAAAAGATATTTATACCTAGTAATAAACTATGCAGTTCACATTTCATTATAAGAAACAATAATCATCTTACAAAAATAATCAATGGTGCAAATTGATCAGCAAGCTTTTATTGATTGATGACTATGCTACTGGGCAGCTAGGGGGCACAATAAATAGAGTTTTGGGCCTACAGTCAGGAAGACTCATCTTTCTGAGTTCAAATCTGGCCTCAGACACTTACTAGCTGTATGACCCTGGGCACATCACTTAACCCTGTTTGCCTCAGTTCCTCATCTGAAAAATGAGCTGGAGAAGGAAATGGCAAACCACTCCAGCATCTTTGCCACGAAAACCCCAAATGGAGTCACAAAGAGTCAGACACAAATGAAACAGCTCAACAACAACGACAAACTATGCTACCATGTACAAGTTAACACGTGTCCTCATTGCCAAAAGCTAAATGAAGCAGTGTAGCTATGATTTTAAAAATTATTTTAAGTGCTACTTCCCGAGTTCCTCATCCTGTTCTCTATCTTTCTTTCATTCTCTTTTCCCTTCATTTTATTTCCCATGAATAAAAACCTTAGTTTATCTATTCTCTTTCCTTTCCCATAGCTTTCTTGGGGGTTATCATCAGGTTAAACTTTGAAGGAATTTTTCCCCCCAGGAGAGCCTGCTAAAGGCAGATGCTTCAGGTCTCTTACCGACAGTGTGGGAAGCATTACAAGGAATAGAGGGAAGAACAAAGCAGGAATCACAGGCTGTGGATAGGTGATCCCCCTTTTATTCATATCCCCATGTCATATGGGTGCTTGTAGGCATAGTGATAAACAACCCTTGAAATTTTTCCCCTATTATTACTTATAGGAAGGAAGAAGGAAGGAAGAAATTGTTTAAGCAACCACTATATGATAGGTACTGTACAAAGCACTTCACAAATATTATCTCATTTGATCCTCACAACAACCCTGCTAGGTAGGTACTAATATTATCTCCATTTTACAGTCAAGAAAACTGAGGCAGACACCATGTAAGTGACTTGCCCAGAGTCACAGAGCTAGTAAGTGTTGCAGACCAGATTTGAACAGGTCTCTCCGACTCCAGGCCCAGTGCTCCATCCACTGCATCACCTACTCGTAAGACAGAAGTGCCTAAGCCCCATTGGCAGAGTTTCCATGCTTAACACAGACTCTGATTTAATCTCAGGCAATACAAGATGGAGGTAATTCTAATGGGCACTGGTAGTGCAAAATCATCCCTCATGTTACATTGAGATTTTTCGGTTGTCCGTCCTTCATTTCAAAGAGAACCAGCTACATCAGGAGAGACGTCTTGACTCCTGCATGAACTAGAATTTAGTGAGACAGAATTGCACAAGGTAATCTCTCTCTGTCCCACTGTCATTGAAGTCCAGTGGCAAGACAAAAGTCAGGATGACTAGCGACAGCCTGGGATGCAGTGGATGACCTGGGCATTTTTGATGTCTGACCAAGCTCTGAGTGCTTCAGAGTGCCTATCTCAGCTTCCTTCATGGAACAAATTGTTATCTGCCCATTCTTCCCAGAAAAATTTTCACATACTTGGGGTAAACATCCCCCAAACTCACTGACAAATTTGGGGAATGTTGGTTAGCCTCAACCTGGTTTAGTCCATCTGCCAAGACTGTTTTGCTAGAGTGTGGCCACTGTGCATGCTATAGCTACCTACCTTACAGGGTTGTTGTGAGGATCAAATAAGACAGTATACATAAGTTTGCTTTGCGAACTTCACAGTGCTAAACAAATGCAGCTATGATTATAATACAGAATAAAAACTTGACTATTAAGAATAACTAGAATTTATAGAGATCTTTAAGTTTGCAAAGCATGTTACAATATTATGTCATTTGATTAAAGGCAGGGGCTGTGCCACTTGTTAAACTCTGAGGAGCATCTGTCAAAGTCATGTCAGAAGAAAAAAAGAGAAATCTTGCATAGGCAAGGCAGGTATATATGTAATTTCCTGTCATAAGGTCCTTGGATATATATGAGCGTTAGAGTCCCCTTTTCCCCTCTCCCCTTCTTACCTATTCCATTTCTTCATGTTCTATAGAGGAATTCAATCCTGGAGCCAAGTTCAGTACAAAAGCCACCTGTGCAATAAAGTATTATTCTTAGTAATATTTTCTGGCTTTCAAAATATTAGTTTGTAATAATCATACAACTATATTGCGGTTGCAAATTTTTTACCTTAAAAATTCACAAAAAGCAGCATCTCATTTCCTATCCCTTCCTGCCTCCCCCAATTTAGGATCCCTTCTTGCTCTATTCTCTGCTCTTCCTAGGCTGACAGACGAATGTAAACTATTCAGCTTTCTAAAACATCGCTAGAATTCTAAAACAAACTGAAATGCCCATATGTGGATCATTTACTTAAATGGAGTATCATTTCTTTAAACTGACAAGCAGCCAACTCTCAATTATCCATGATAATGGAGAACAGGCATAACATGGACAATTTAATTCTACTGATGATCAAAAAAGCTCATTCTGGCTTCTCCCATCCAAGCTTTTACAAAGCTACTACTAAAGATATAAAGTGATTGGTTTGAGTTTTGTGTTCTTTCATTAATCTTACCTTTACTTCAGTGTGTGTGGGAGCTGGGGTGGGAGGGGCAGCGATTTGAAGGGGAAGTAGGGGAGGGGAAGTAATAAACTGTGAAACTGCCAGGCAGTCAGGAGGAGAAGGATAATCTTGTAAAATCCATCAGCTGGCCAATCAACCCCCATGTTATCCAAAGGTGACTGCATTTTCCCCAGGTTTTGTTTTAGGGATGATTTTGAAACTGGATATTAATGCTTCAGGTGACCAGATGTCTTGAATTAAGTAGGACAGTCCTAAATTTTCACTTCCTGTCCTGCTTGGCAACATATCCCTCAGAATGTTCTAAATTAGTCAATTTTAGTTTTGTTGGACCTCCATTCTCTTCTTTCTTCCATTCTTCCCTGTTTTCTCCTCTTCCTCCTTCTCCACCACTTTTCCTCTTCCCTCAAAGTTAAATGTCTACAGTCTCTTTTGTATCCCATTTAGTGAGAAGTAGGCTTCCCAGCAGCAGAAGCAATAGGTGAATCTTCATTTGACACTGCTGGTCATCTCCTTCCTTCAGAACAGAGACTATCTATTCTCTTGCTTTCTATGATACTCCTCACCCTAGTTCTCTTCCTTTCTCTCTAATCACTCCTTTTCTCCTTCTCTATGATTTAAGTCCTTCCACAATCTGGTTCTAATCTACCCTTTCAGCCTTTTTTGACATTATTCTACTTTGTACATATAACTTGAGTCCCAAAGCCACCCTCAGGTGCTAGCCCCTACTTTAGGATAGCCTCAGTGCTCTTTCTGATTCCTTCCTTACACTGGATACTGCCCACATGATCCATTAAAAAAAAAAACTCTAAGTCTGGCCCAAACCAGATTAAAATCTAACTGGGAAATACCTAACAAGATAAATAGAAATACAATAGAATTTAGATAATGTTAATTTGTACTTTTCTATGTCAATATAATATCTGCAAAAACCCGTTTATTTCTATTTGAGTTTAACACCACTGAGATTGCACATGTTCAACTACCACAGTTTTACCACCTTATCTGTATTGGTTTGGGTTTTTTTAAATATTATTTGTTTTATTTTTAATTTATGGAATAAAATAAGCATTTCTATAACATAGTATAATAAGAAAAGATCATTGCAGATGAAACTGCAAATCTATTATGTATAACTTGCTATTTCTTTTAAATATACAACAGAGTTATCATGTAAATTTTTTTTCTTCCCTTACCCACCACCTCAGCCCTAGAGTGGGCCACTATTAGACACAAATAAGTATTGATAGATAGATATACATATATACACACATATATACATACATACTATATACATATATATGTAAAATTATTCTATATATATACATATATATATTTCTATTTATCAGTTCTTTCTCTAGATGCATATAGTATCTTTCTTCAGATGTCCTTTATAGAGGCAGTTAGGTGGCACAGTGGATAGAGCACCAGCCCTGGATTCAGGAGAACCTGGGTTCAAATCCGGCCTCAGACACATAACACTAGCTGTGTTACCCTGGGCAAGTCACTTAACCCCATTGCCAAAACAAACAAACAAAAAAACCCCCTTATATCCTTTATAGTTAATTTAGGTATTTTTAATAGTCAAAATTATTTAGTTATTCAAAGTTGTTCTTAAAACAATATTGCCGTTATTGTATACAATGTTCTCTTGGTCCTGCTCATTTTGCTCTTCATTATTTTGTGCAAGTCTTTTCATGTTTTACTAAAATAATTGAATTCATCATTTCTTATAGTACAATAATATTCCATCACAATGACACAACCTGTTCAGCCATTCCTCAATCAATGGGCATCCAGCCCTCCCTCTCTCAAATCCAATTCACTTGCATGTCATGGCATCTTCTCCTTAATGTCATGGTCCTCTTTGAGAATGAAAGACAAATGGCAGCAGCAAGTTCTTTGCCACCACAAAAAAAAAGCTGCTATAAACATTTTAGAACATATAAGTTCTTTTCCTTTTTCCCCTAATCATCTTTGGAAATAGACCTAGTGATGGTATTGCTGGGTCAAAGAGTATATCAGTAGCTTAGTAACTCTTTGGGCATAATTCCAGGTTGTTCTCCAAAAATGATTGGATCAGTTCACAAATTCCACCAACAATAAATTAGTGTCCACATCCCCCCCCAACATTTTTTGCTCTCCCCTTCAATCATTTTAGCCAATCTGGTAAGTGTAAAATGATGACTCAAGGTTGTTTTAATTTTCATTTCTCTACTCAATAATGATTTAGAGCATTTTTTTTCATATGACTATAAATTGTTTTGATTTCTTCATTGGAAAACTGCCTGTTCATATCCTTTGACCACTTGTCAATTGGGGAATGACATATATTCTTATAGATTTGACAAAGTTTTTTATATATATTTTAGATATGAGACCTTTATCTGATAAACTGTCTATAAATTTTCCCCCAATTTTCTGCTTTCCTTCTGGTTTTGGCTACATTTGTTTTACTTGTACATAAAATGTTTAATTTAATATAATCATAATTATCCATTTTACACCTAACTTAGCTCTCTATCTCTTGTTTATCCACAAATTATTTATAGACCAATTTCATCAATGAATATGGATACAAAAAATCCCCAATAAAAACACTAGCTAAAAGATTACAACAATATATCACAAAAATTGTACATTATATCAGAGAAGAAAAAAGAAATAGAAGCAATCAGAATAGGAAATGAGGTAATAAAACTATCGCTTTTTGCAGATTATATGATGATATATTTGGAAAATCCCAAAGATTCAACTAAAAAGTTGGTTGAAACAATAATTTTGGCAGGATATAAAGTAAATCCATATAAATCATCAGCATTCCTATATATCACAAATAAAACTCTGCAAGAATAGATTGTAAAAGATACTCCATTTAAAATAACTCTAGATAGTATAAGATACCTGGAAGTACACCTGCCACCCAGAAACTATATGAACAACATTATAAAAATAAAACTTTTTTTATAAAAATAAAAATTGATTTAAATAATTGGAGAAATCTTAAGTGTTCATGGGTAGACAGGGCCAATATAATAAAAATGACAGTTTTACCCAAACTAATTTATATATTCAATGCCATCCCAATTAAATTACCCAAAAAAACCTACTAAATTGGAAAAAATAGTAACAAAATTCATATGGAAGAACAAAAAGTCAAGAATATCAAAGAAAACAATGAAAAGATGTAAAGAAAGGAGGGTTAGCAGTACCAGATCTTAAAGTATAAGGCAGTAATTATCAAGACCATCTGGTACTGGCTAAGAAATAGAAAGGTAGATTAATAGAATAGAGTAGACATACAATTTACAGCAACAAATAAGCATAATAACCTTGTATTTGACAAGTGTAAAGACTTTTTTAGGATAAGATTTTAGGATAAGAATTCATTATTGGCAAAAAAAAATCGTTGGGAAAACTGGAAAATAGTATGGCAAACACTGGGCATAGACCAATATCTTACAACATTTACAAAATAAGGTCAAAATGGTTACATGACCTAGATATAAAGAGGTATTAGAAGAAAATTAGAAGAACATGGAACATATTACTTAGCAGACTTATGGATAGGTGAACAATTTATGGATAAATGAGATAGAGAAGTTAAGTGTAAAATGTATTGGTTTGTCAACATTCCACATAATGACTTTTTCTTTATAGAAGAAACATCTGCAAAATATAGTTTGGTAAAATTTTTATCATGAAAACCCAAACCAAGAGAAACCCTGTTTTGAGGATTTGTATAGGCACTAGAACCAGTCAAGTTTTCAGTCCAAAAAGTAAAATTAGGAAATAATGTTTAGGGAGACTGGGGAAAGTATGAGTTCTTTTTCTATCTGATTTTATTTTTGTGTTTGCTTTGCTTCTTTTGTTTCTTTATAGAAGAAGAAGAAGAAGAAGAAGAAGAAGAAGAAGAAGAAGAAGAAGAAGAATAAGATAGCATGACAAAATAAGATCGATGTCTTAGACCAGGAAGGGACCTCAGAGGACATCTAGTCCAGTTGTTTCATTTTACAGATGAGGCTTACATTTTTGAAAATACATGCAAAATAGGCTCCTTGGTCTACTGAGTTTTTGGAAATTAGAACTCTAGACCGAAACTGCAGTAAGTATAGTTACTGTGTAAATATTAGTTTGCTGATAAGTTCTTGTTACCATGTGTAATCAACCAATTAGGATGCCCAAGACAATACCACAAAGCTCCCCAACTGAACCCAAACCAGTCATTCACATTCAACTTGTAATGAATTTGGTTCTCTGCTTAAAAGTGCTGTATTCAGTTCTGTGGGTAGGTGATGATTCTTCTTCTTCTTCTCCAATCCCTCTTATTCTACCAGTTCTTTCTCCACTGCCTAGCTCATGCCCCTGCTCTCATTAAAACAAACAAAAAATATTTCCCTTCCCCCTGCAATAACTTTAAGCTATCATCCTAATATCCCCTGACTCTTCACTGCTAAACTTCTAGAAAGACTAGTCACTGTCACCTATTCTTCACTGTCACTCACTCAC